GTTCTCTTAGTCTCCATTGCATTGATTTCTGCTCTGATCTTTATAATTTCCTCTCTTGTACAAGCTTTGGATTTGTTATCCTCTTCTTTTTCTAGCAGCTTGAGGTTCTGCATTAAGTTATTTATCTGAGTTTTCTCTGTTTTTGTAATATGGGCATTCACTGCTATGAATTTCCCCTTTGTGTGGTAGTTTTAAAAAATAATAAACACATGTAATCTTTAGAACAAAGTAAAAAAATAATCTTCAGTAAAAACAAAATCAGATGTTAATACAAAGTGAAAAAGCTATGTGACATAAAGAAAAAGTAAATTCTAACTAATTGCTTACAAGTACTTAACCATAAATGCTTATTTTTAAATATAACCGCTTACTCTTGGATTTTATTTTCGGAGTTCATTTGCTTCAACAGATTGTCAATCCCATGATGCCATGACAAGTTCCAAGCTATTTTCAGCATATCTGACACGGGCTTCAAGGTCAAATAATCAGCAGATAATGGCAAAACTATTGAGTAAGGACTCACAGCATGGTGGCCATGTGTATGTACTGGTAGATGATACCTAGGGACAATGTATACAAATAATTAAAAACTTTACAAATTATTAAACACTATTCAAAAAGAGGGGACTCAAGTGAATACATAATAATGCATTGTTATGCATTACATAATAATGCAAAGATCTCTCCCACAGTTCCTATTACAAAGTTATCATGGTTTATAGAATGTTTCAGTTATTCTTCTATCCTTTAAATTACCAAGAAACACATCATTTAACTGTTTCCTGAGGACTTACCACATCCTATGTTACACTAGACTTGTTGTAGAAATATCTAACACTCCTGAAGTCAGGGTCCATTCCATAGGAAACCAAACATAAAAATCTCCAGCTAACTCATGAATGCCTACTTTCCATCAAATATTGTTTGTTCCCTACCATTCATTCACAGTTACAGTTACAAGGTATGGCACTATGATATCCATTTGTACAGATGATCAAAATGAGACTTTTCAAACACACTAAAGGCATTGCCTATCATCAGAGGAAAATAAGTGACTTAATTCCAACTTATTTTCTATTGAGAACACAGGTGCATCATCAATAAACTCAACAAGAGAACCCAGAAATATTTTTAGATACAAGATGAAATTTAATAACAATCTCTTTTAAAGTTAATTTAACAGGACAGCACTGCCTAGAATATAAAAATGTAAAAGAATAATTTTGCTAATAAAATATATCTGAATTCCCAATTCACATATTTATGACTGATACTGGATAAATACAGTTGGGCAAGACTTTTAAGAGATACTTGTGTGTGCTTTTTTCAACTCAACTACTTCAATAAGAGAAACTAAGGCAGACATGTCTGGCCCACAGGTCTCATGTGGCCCAGAACAGCTAGTAAAGCAGCCTCATAAGACTGTAAACTTTTAACATAATTATGTGATTTTTTAGTGATAATTTTCATGACTGGATTGCTCAGTGCTGGAGTATGGACTGGGAAGGCAACAAGAGAAAGCTGTGTAAGGGAAGGCATAATGCAGGGCTAACTCCACCACCTGTACCCACCAGTCAGTCAGATCTTATATGTGCTTGAGTGACTTGGCAAGTGAGGCACAATAACTACTGATAATATTTCAATCTACCTACACGTGTGTGTGCCTGTAAAGGTAGGTATTTATTGTTATCAAGCAGACGTGTAAGTTTCCTTATTTACTACTAATGTTTTATGTGTAGCCAGAGATAAATCCTCTTCATTCACAGCAGCCTAGGAAAACCAAAAGGTTAGATCCCTATGGGCTAAGGCATAGTTTTATGTACAAATCAGCGAGCATAATTCAGTTAGTAAAGGTATTTTTTAATTGGAATTTTTCACTAAAAGTAACCAGGGCTCCTCAAGAGAAACAGCTAATGATACTCTAAAATAGGAAAATCAGAAGTGAACTTTGGGTATCTTTCTGTGCCAAGAAGCAAAGAAGAATCAAAAGACTCATGGGGCTATGTCAAAAGGAGCCTATTTAAAAGTAGTTGAACTGAACAAATCAGCAACAGTTTTAGTATCAAAAGAAGAATAAAGATAATGCGAGATCCTTATAAACATGAAAAATCCATAGTACACTGAAAAGGGATTGGTGAGGGAGAAGGCTATCTATTACATATAGAAAAGACAACAGAATGAGATCACCTTTTGCAGCCCCTAAAAAAATAACTAATATAGAAAAGATCATTGATGACTGCAAAATTACTAGAGAAAGACTGTTAGGTTATAAGATATTTATAGGCTTCAAAGTATCCTTGTCAGGTTACAGGATGTTCACAAGTCTAAAAGTATCATCTACATGAGAAAAACACATTTTTACACCAATAAAAACTAGTATTACAACCTTAAGTGATCAGTAAGCATTATCAATAAGAACATAATCATTCAAGTTCCCATCATGGAATAATATGTACAAAACTGGCCTATAAATATCAAAAGAGAACATAATGAAGAAAGACAAGAGGGAGATGGAGAGACTCTTTTAGGATAAAAAATAAATAAATCAAGAAATTTCCTTTCCAGCTGAGTGAAAAGGCTGTATCAAACTAATTTCCTACACAACAACTAGAAAAGCTAAGCCACACATTTTCCAAAGCTTTATCCCATCAGCACCTTCTGATTCCGAAGAAAATTCAGGCCTAACAGGGCACATAGAAAACAGTATTTCAGAACTTTTAATAGCCAAATGGGAGTAGGAATTTTTTTTAAAAATGATGTTTAGGACATGTCAAAGGGAAGAGAGAGTAACTATTCCAACCTACCAGTTTAAATTCCTTAAGAATTATGCTCAAGAGCCCTTGTGGCTCTCTGTGCAACACCATGGCAGTGAGCAAGAACAAGCGCCTTACGAAAGGTGGCAAAAAGGGAGCTAAGAAAAAAGTTGTTGAACCATTTTCTAAAAAGGACTGGTATGATGTAAAGACATTGGCTATGTTCAACATAAGAAATATTGGAAAAACCTAGTCACCAGAACTCAAGGAACCAAAATTGCATCTGATGGGCTCAAAGGTCGGAGTTTGAATTGAGCCTTGCTGATCTGCAGAACAATGAAGTTGCCTTTAGAAAATTCAAGCTAATTACTAAAGATGTTCAAGGCAAACACTGCCTGACTAACTTCCATGGTATGGATCTCACCTGTGACAAAATGTGTTCCATGGTCAAGAAATGGCAGACCATGACAGAAGCTCATGTTGACGTCGAGACTACCGATGCTTATTTGCTTCATTTGTACTGTGTTGGTTTTACTAAAAAATGGAACAATCAGATACAGAAGACCTCTTACGCTCAGCACCAACAGGTCTGCCGAATCTGGAAGAAGATGATGGAAATCGTGACCCAAGAGGTGCAGACAAATGACTTGAAGGAAGTGGTCAATAAATTGATTCCAGACAGCACTGGGAAAGACATAGAAAAGGCTTTCCAGTCTATTTATCCTCTTCATGATGTCTCTGTCAGAAAAGTAAAAATGCTGAAGAAGCCCAAGTTTGAATTGGGAAAATGCATGGGGTTTCATGGTGAAGGTAGTAGCTCTAGAAAAGCTACTGGAGGTGAAACTGGAGCTAAAGTTGAACAAGCTGGTGGAAACGAACCACCAGTCGAAGAGTCTGTTTAAAATCCAAATTTTTAATAGTGATAAATAAAATCCTATTTATGAAAAAAAGAGAATTACGCTCAAGAGCAAAACAGACCATCTTTTTCAAAGACTGAACCCCAACCCTGAATCAGCTCAGTCCAATCCAATCAAATTCCTTTGCTCATAATCTAACTGCTGCCAGGAGAAAATTCAATCATCTGTGAAGAAAGAGAATATCTCCATAGTCTCTTCAACTTTTCATTTGCTGTATGCACCATCAAAAATTGCTAGGCTTGTCAGGGCAGAATAAAATGAATGATGGCTTGATACTGAAGATTACCCAAAGGTCCACGTGCTAAAAGATTGGCACCCAGTGTGGTACTATTTGGAGGTGGTGAAATATTTAGAAGATGGGGCCTAGTGAGAAGTTCTAATGTCACTGAGGGTGTCCCTTATGGGGAACAGTGGGAGCCCAGGCTCCTCCTCTTCCTGGCTACTTCATGACGGAAGTAGTTTTGCTTCATCACAGTCCTGCTATGATATGCTATCCTCACCAGAGGCCCAAAGCACACGGAGCCACCAGCCTTAAACTGGAACCTCCAAAACCATGAACCAAATAAACTTTTCTCTTATAAAGATACTTCACTATAATAATGCAAAGCTGACTGATACAAAATAACTGGGGGATATAGTTATAACCAATATATCAGAGAAGGCCCAGATACTAAGGTTATCACAAAAGAACTATAAAAGTGATTGTGATTAGTTTTCAAGAAAGCACTGCATGATGGAGAATTTCATCAGAGAACAGAAACCCATAAAGATAATCTAATGGAAATTTTAGAAATGAAAAATATAAAATTCAAAACTCAATAGATAAATTTAATACTATACTGGTTATACCGGAAAAGTATGTAAAGACAGGTTTTAGGAAAATAATCAGACTGAAGCAAAAGGAGAAAAAATACAGAAGGAGTATCACATATAGGATATACAGTGGTATGTTAGTTCACAAACTTAATTCATTTCCATAATTCTGGAAAAGATAGCCATGTTTGTATTCAAGCAGGAAAGATGGTACAGTCATGTTCATTACCCAATGCAGAGTTCACAAACTAAAGCAAAATTCTGCCAAATGTTTCTGTTTGTGAACCAAATTGTTCACAAACAAAAGCACTTGTGATCTCAGATACCACTGCAGTTGTTTAAAATGTTTTTATTGGGAAGCCACTGGGCTGAGGTAGGCTCCAGTTTTTTATGTACCTACATAAGCAAACTAAAGTCCTATATAAACAATAAATTAAAACCAGAGACTTCATCAATCACAAAACTGCCATCTTTAAATAACCTTTAAATTGGGTCTTTCCACACTCACCAATCAAATATATTTTCTTTGTCTTACTTCTGTGTCAAGGTATAAAAGTTCAGGGCCCACATTGCTGCAGTGAAACTCTCTGAACCTCTTTGCTCAAATTTTTCTTTTAACAGAGCAAAATTATCTCATGTAATCAGAATCTAAGAAAAAAAAAACCTGGCCAAAAGCAGTTTTAAAGATACTAGCTAAAATATTTTCAAACAGCATAAAGAACATCTACTGCAATTCAATAACTCATATGTGTATTAAACAGAATAAATACAAAAACATTACACCTAGACTCATCACAATAAAAGACAGAGAAAATTTTAAAGCAGCCAGGAAAACCCAAAAAGTAACACACATATGAATACTGCTTTAATAATGAACATGTAAGGCAGTGGTGGAGAAACTTCTAGAGCTTTCAATGACGATAAACACCCAGCTGTGGCACAGGTTCCCCAGCATTGATGTAAGGTGTGCTGGGCCACAGAGGAAGGAAATTCTAAAATGCCTATATTTTCTTCAAAGAAGCAACAATATAACTGACAGCTAACTTTTCAACAAAGAATGGACTCTAACTGCCAACT